ACTTCATCAGGGCCTTGAGCCTGAAACAAACATTAAATAAAGTACAATTTATGGTTTAGAAAGGCATCATATATCAGCACAGTCGATATGGGCTAAAGGGCCCATTTTGTGCTGTATCGCTCTGCTTATGAGAAAGCAGCAAACTACCAGATCAATGGAGAGGTACCAGGCAATGCATTATAGACACTAGGTATTATCAACAAGGATTGCAAGAATATGCATTCTCTAAACGTAACACAAACGAGATAAATGAATTCCATTCATATGAAGCTCTCTGGTGAATTTATTTATAATTAAATTAATATATATACACACAGACACAATAGTGTAATCTCCGGACACAGCTTGTGCCTCGAGTGCTACAATGCAGAGGCAATGGCCACATTAAAACATCTAGGTACTTGATTCATTTGCGTAGCCAAGCTTTAAAGAAATAGCTTTCAAAGTGATAGCACATCACCTTGAAGACAGTAAGGGACCACAGATGCTGGTAGCTAGAGTCAATAAAGGCTGGAGCTGGAAGAGCACAGCTAGTCAGATAGCATCCGAGGAGCAGGAAAGTCATATTTTGGGCAGAAATGTTGACTTTCCTGCTCCTCGATGCTGTCTGACCAGCTGTGCTGTTCGACCAGCTGTGCTGTTCCAACTCCACATTTACGGGCACATCACCACCTTTTCAGGATAGCTCTTGTGTGCTTCAATACATTTACAGAAGGCAATACTAAGGGATAAAATTAAATGTATGGTTGAAGTAATGTATTTAGTAGAGACATAGAAAATAGCTGTAGTACACCATTTAGCCATTTGAGCCTGCTATGACATTCATTATAATCATCAAGTCAATAGCCAGCTCCCATTTTACCCAATATCCTTTAATCCCTTTTGTCCAAACTACTGTATCCAACTCCTTCTTGAAATCATATTTTGGCTTCCATTGTGGTGAGTTCCACAGACTCGCCTCTCTCTGGGTGAAGACATTTCTCCTCATGCTAGCCCAAAATGGATTACCCCACGGCCTGAGACTGCAACTGTTGGTTCTGCACGTCCCTGCCATTGGGAATATACTTCCAGCATCTGCCCTGATTTATCTGGTCAGAATTTTACAGTTTTCTTTGAGAAAGGCCGTCATTCTTCTGAACTTCAGAGGCTATAATCCTAACCATATTAACCTCCCTTTATCCATCAGTCAGTACTGGCATCGCAGGAATCAGTCTGGTAAACATTTGCTGCACTACCTCTACAGCAAGAGCGTCTTCCTCAGATAAGGAGGCTAAAATTGCACACAATAATTCCAGTGTGGTCTCACCAAGGCCCTGATTAATTGCAGCAAGATACTCATGCTCTTGTACTCAAATGCTCTCACATGAAAGCCAACATAATCACTTGCCTGCTACACTTGCATAGTTCTGAAGAAGGATTGAAATGTTAATTTTCGTGTCGGGACCCTTCTTCAGAAATGGGCCTGCTGTGTTCCTCCAGCTCCACACTTAACTCCAACTCCAACATCTGGAGTTCTTGCTATCTCTGAGTGAGTTATTACCCCACTGCGAAGCCTCCCATTTCTGAAGAACAGGCCCAACCCAAAACATCAACTTTCCTGCTCCTCTGATGCTGCCTGGCCTGCTGTGTTCCTCCTGCTCCACACTGTTGTCTCGGACTCCAGCATCTGCAGTTTTGGCTATCTCTGCGAAATGTTAACGGATTTCTCTCCACGCCTGCTGCTGGACCTGCTGAGTTTTCCCAGCATTTTCTCTTTCTGCTTCTGATTTCCAGCACCCGCAGTTCTTTGGGCTTCTTTTTACCTTCACGTTACTTTAAAGCTATGTCTCCTCATAACTGGTATTTCCTCCCTAAGTAAAAGATTCCGATTACCCATTCTGTCCACGCCTCCCTATTTTGAACCTCTATCAGGTTGCTTGTCAGCCGCCAAGGTTCAACAGAAAACAAACTAAGTTTATTCAATCCCTCCTCGTAGCTAATACGCCGCAAATCCTCGTGTCTGTATCAGCTCTCAAAAGAAATATGCAGCCAGTCCCATTCTCCAGCCCTATCTCCGTAGCTCTCTCGATTAATCCCTTTCAAATATATATCCAGATCTCCTTTGAACTCCTATTGAATCTGACTCCACCACACTTCCAGGCAGAGCATTCCAAATCCTTACAACTGAATAAAGGTTCTCTCCATCTCACGCCTAGATCTCGTGCTGACAATCTGGAAATTGTGACTCCTAGTTACTAACATACCAACTGATAGAAAAACAGAATATCCTTCTTTACCCTGTCAAAATTGTTCATCATTTTGAACACCTCAATAAGGATCATCTTAACTTTCTCTGCTCTAAGAATAAGCCCAATTTCTCTAATCTTTCTTTGTAACTAAAATCTGTCAATCCTATTATCATTTCAGCAAATCTCCTTTACACTCGCTCCAGGACTATAACATTCTTCCTTAAATAAGGTACCCAGAACTGAACACAATACTGCAAACAGACTGACCAATGATTTCTAGAGAAGTAGCATCACTTCCTTGTCTTTATATTCTTCGTCTCTACTTATAAACCTAAGGATCCTATAATCCTTCTTAACAACTGTTTCAATTTGCCTGGCCACCTTTAGAGAACTATGCACTTGAACCCCAAGGTCCCTCTCCTCCTGTACTTTCCTCAAAGTTGTACCATGGAGACTGTTTTGTCTCTATATGCTTCTTCTACCAAAATGTACTCCCTCACGTTTCTCTGCATTGAAATTCATCTGCCTGGCGACTGCACATTTGGCCAACTTGTCAATGCTCCTCTGAATTCCTCACAATTCACTATTCTCCCCAGCGTAGGATCAACTGCAAATTTGAAGATTTTTGCCCTCAACACCCATGTCCAAATAGATCATATAAATCTGAAAAAGTAAGGGTCCCTGCACTGATCCCTGGGGAACTCCATGACAGACTTCCCGCCACCCAAAACACATCCATTAACCATTGTGGTAACTGGGACTCGTCACTCTGTTTCCTATCATTCCACCATTTGAAAATCTGCCTACGTTAACATTTTTTGGTCTTTGTTATCAAAGGGTTCCATCAACTCTCAAAAAAATTTGGTGAACAATTTCTTTTTTGTAAAACTTACTGACTCTGCCTGATTTTATTATGATTCTCTAAGTGGATCGTTAAATCTTCCTTGATCATGGATGAGAATATTTTTGAAGTGACTTGCGTCAAGACAAACAGTTCCCCTGTTTTCTATCTCCCTGCTTTTGAGGAAGCGAGAGATACAGTGCAGTTGTCAATCTGGCTGCTGTTAGCATACATCTGCATCTGGATCCTCTGGAATAAATCATAACCGATTATTCACAGCTGATTCATTCCACCTCTTGTACCGGGACCTGTGGGCTGAGACTTTTACATTTGAATAAAGCATCTGGATTAAATGGCACTCAAAAAAGAGATCCTTTGCAAAGTGAAGCGTATCATTTACTGAATCGTGCTGCAAAATGAAAAACTAGAAGAGAAATTGGATTTCAGAGCTTCTGTAAACTCAGATCACAAAACATACCAAAAGCTCTTCAGCCTCCTTCAATTTTGTTTTATACAATATCCATCGGTATCGCAAATCTTCCAGCTGTTTCTCTTCTTCATTCACGCCAGAAAACTCAGCACTGAGGAGCTCTTCAAAAATTTTCTGGCCATGAGGGACACGAGATTGCAGCACCTGAAAACCATCAGTTAATCTTTTCAGAAAAGTTAAAAACATTGCCTGCTCTACGCACATAACTGAAGGAAGTTGTTTATGGAACATGACTTAAACATTACTAAAAGACAAGAAGTAGAAGTTCTTGCACTCATCAGTACATCATATTGAGATGTCACATTTGATTTTGTGCACATCAAACTCTCAAACTTTGTATCACGTGCAGCTGAAATAATTTTAAACAGCAACTTGACACGGGGAGGCAACTATATAGTGATAAGATCAGTGGGCTAGTAATGTGGAATCCCAAGAGAGAGAAGGGACAGCAGTCTCAAAGCACATGATAGAGAGAGAGGAGGATAGCTGCTTCATAAAGATAAGTCTCAACCTATGTTGGAAGAGCAGTAGAAGTGGTTGATGAGTATTTCTTTTGAATGGCCAAATGGTTTAAATTAGGAGGTGCTAATCCAGTTAAGAAGATCACTTTTAAAATATTTAGCTCAAAATTAGAGATATGTTTGGGTAGGCACTGTGTTGCAGCTTAATACGCGAGAGTTGGCAGATGTCAGGGTGATTCACTATGACCACATCTGCAGCAAGTATTGGCTACTTGAGAAACGTCAGCTCAGATGTGCTGAAGTTCAAGTTGCAGAGACTTCAACATATGAGGGAGAGGGAGAGGTATTTGGACACACTGTTTCAAACAACAATCACATCCCTTAGATTAACTACATCTAATTTGACACATGGTGAGGAACAGGGGGTGTACAACTGCAAGCGAGACAGATATTGGATTCGAGAATTTAACTTTGCAGAAGCCACAGCCAGAGCCCTTGTCCAACAAGGACAGGGTTCTTGATCCCAGTATGGACATGGGCATAGACTGCAGAGATGATGAGCAAACTGAACACATCACAGTGGTCCAGACAGCAATTCAAGTGAAGGGAAAAAGAGACATGTAGTAGTCATGAGGGCCAGATATTTCGGGGAATAGATTGTTTTCTCTGCAGCAAAGGCAGAGTGTCCCAAAAGCTGTGTTGCCTAGGCAGTGTCAAGGTTCAGAACATCTCTGGGTTGGAGAGGAACTTGGGAGTGGGAGGGGCTGGACCTAGTTCTAAGAGTCCATGTAGGTAACAATGACATGGGATTGGGGAAGAATTACTGAGGGATTACGTGCTGTTTTAGGCTAAATTTTTTTTTCATTATTCGTTAACGGATGAGGACATCACTGGCTAGGCAGCATTTATTGTCCATCCCTAATTGCCCAGAGGGCAGTTCAGAGTCAACCACATTGCTGTAGGTCTGGAGTCACATGTAGGCCAGACCAGGTAAGGATGGCAGTTTCCCTCCCTAAAGGACATTAGAGAACCAGGTGGGTTTTTTCCAGCAATCCAACAATGGGTTTATGGTCATCATTAGACTCTTAATTCCAGATATTCAAATTCCACCATCTGCCTTGGCGGGATTTGAACCCAAGTCACCAGAATGTTATCTGGGTCTCTGAATTAACAGTCCAGCAATAATACCACTAGGCCATTGCCACCCCATTAAAAATTAAAAAGCACAACCACAAAAAAAAGTCAGGTGGGAAATGTTAAGAATCTGTATTCTTGGCCCGTTTTAGAGGCTTCCTGTTTAATTATTTTTTCTGGGCTTGAGTTGAAATGGACACCTGGGTTTTCCTCTCTTTACAGAGGTCAATGAAGGAACTCGGTGATCCGTGGTGTGCCGCAGGGGTCTACTGTGCGACCACTGCTCTTTGTGATCTTTATAAATGACTTGCATGAGGAAGTGGAACGGCGAGTTAGTAAGTTTGCCAATGACACGAAGGTTGGTGGAGTTGTGGACAGCGTGGAGGGCTGTTGTAGGTTGCAACAGGACATTGACAGGATGCAGAGCTGGGCAAAGGAGTGGCAGATGGAATTCAACTCAGAAAAGTGTGAAGCGATTCATTTTGGAAGGTCAAATTTGAATGCAGATTACAGGGTTAATGGCAGGATTCTTGGCAGTTTGGAGGAACAGAGGGATCTTGGGGTCCACGTACATAGATCCCTCAAAGTTGCTACCCAAGTTGATAGGGTTGTAACGAAGGCTTATGATGTGTTAGCTTTCATCGGCAGGGGAATTGAGTTTAAGAGCTGTGAGGTTATGCTGCAGCTCAATGAAACTCTGGTTAGACCACACTTGGACTATTGTGTTCAGTTCTGGTCACCTCATTATAGGAAAGATGTGGAAGTTTTAGACAGGGTGTAGAGGAGATTTACCAGGATGCTGCCTGGACTGGAGTGCAGGTCTTATGAGGGAGCTAGGGCTTTTCTCATTGAAGTGAAGAAGGATGAGAGGTGAGAAGGATAGAGGTTTACAATATGATGCCAGGCATAAATAGAGTGGGTAGCCAGAGACTTTTTTCCAGGGCGGAAATGACTATTACAAGGGGGCATAATTTTAAGGTGATTGGAGGAAGGTATAGGGGAGATGTCAGAGGTAGGTTCTTTACACAGAGAGTGGTGGGCATGTGGAATGCGCTGCTGGCAGTGGTAGTGGAGTCAGATACATTGGGGGCATTTAAGCGACTCTTGGATAGGCACATGGAGGATAGTAAAATGTAGTGTATGCAGGGTAGATTGATCTTAGTAGGATAATAGGTCGGCACAACATCGTGGGCCGAAGGGCCTGTACTGTGCTGTACTGTTGTATGTTCTATGAAAGTGCAACTTATTTTTCACAAGATATATCTTGAAAGTCAACATGTTAACTGCAGAGTCCCTGCGTGGGGTTTATGATTATTAGGTGACAGTTTCTGCTTTGGAGTGTGTTCGGATTTTGCAGTTGGAGAAGGAGAAGAACTTCCCAGCTCAGCTTTCCTGTTTCCGGACGCCTGGTCCAGTCTGAACCTCAACTGTCATCTGAAGAGCACCTAGAAGAATCTCAACATGTTCCTTGAGTAATCTGCATTGGCAAAGACTGATTGCATTTGGTGACACCCAGCATTATGCATGTGAATGACAGCCATCTGAACATCTTAGAACATAGAACACAGAACAGTACAGGTCCTTTGGCCCACGATGTTGAGTCAACCTATTATCCTACTAAGATCAAACTGCCCTGCATACACTACATTTTACTATCCTCTATGTGCCTATTCAAGACTCACTTAAAAGACTCCAAAATATCTGACTCCACTACCACTGCCGGCAGCGCATTCCACACACCCACCACTCTCTGTGTAAAGAACCTACCTCTGACATCTCCCCTCTACTTCCTCCAATCAACTTAAAATTATGCCCCTCATAATAGTCATTTCCACCCTGGGAAAAAGTCTCTGACTATCCATTCTCTCTATGCATCTCATTATCTTGTACACCTCTATCAAGTCACCTCTCATCTTTCTCCGCTCCAATGAGAAAAGCCCTAGCTCCCTCAACCTTTCCTCATAAGACCTGCCCTCCAGTCCAGGCAGCATCCTGGTAAATCTCTACACCCTCTCTAAAGTTTCTACATCTTTCCTATAATGAGGTGACCAGAACTGAACACAATATCCCAAGTGTGGTCTAATCAGAGTTTTATAGAGCTACAGCATAACCTTGCGGCTCTTCAACTCAATTCCCTGGCCAATGAAAGCCAACACATCATACGCCTTTGTTACAACCCTATCAACTTGGATAGCAACTTTGAGGGATCTACGGATGGGGATCCCAAGATCCCTCTGTTCCTCCACACTGCCGAGAATCCTGCCATTAACCCTGTAATTCTGCATTCAAATTCGATCTTCCAAAATGAATCACTTCACACTTTTCTGGGTTGAATTCCATCTGCCACCTCTTTGCCCAGCCCTGCATCCTGTCAATAATCTTGACGCTTATCCATTTTAGTTTCAAGAACTAAGACAAAACGTATTTATTTTTCTACAAAGAGAATCTGAGCTGAGATAACTCTGCTTTTCCCTGTCCCTGCTTTTATCATTCAATCACGGATCATAGATCATAGAATCCCTACAGTGTGGAAACAGGCCCTTCGGCCCAACAAGTCCACACCAACCCTCGGAGCATCCCACCCAGACCCATACCCCTATAAACCACCTAATCGACACATCCCTGTACACTATGGGCAATTTAGCATGGCCAATCCACCTAGCCTGCACATATTTGGGCTGTGGGAGGAAATCGGAGCACCCGGAGGAAACCCATGCAGACATGGGGAGAATGTGCAAACTCCACACAGACAGTCGCCAGAGGCTGGAATCAAACCCCTGTCCCTGGTGCTGTGAGGCAGCAGTGCTAACCACTGAACTACCGTGCTGCCCGTAAATGGGATGATGTTCTACCAGTATTCAATGCCTATTGCTAAGCGTCTTTGAGGTGGTGGTGGTGATAAGCTGCCTTCTTGAATAGCTGCAATTCACATGCTATGGATCATCTACAGTGCTATCCAAGAAGGCAGTTCCAAGATTTTGATGCAGCAGCAGTGAAGAAATGGCAACATAGGTCCAAGCCAGGGTGTTTGGCTTGGAGGTAAATTTGTAGGTGATGGTATTCCCATGTATCTGTTGCCCTATGTCCCTTGGCAGTAGTGTTTACAGTTTTGGAAGATGCTTTCTGAAGAGCTTTTGTAAGTTTGGAAAAATGTCTTGTAGATGGTACACACTGTTTCCACTGTGCATCAGTGGTGAATGGAGTACATGTTCAGAACTCCCGAGGAAGGGTCACCGGACCCAAAACGTTAACTCTGTCTTGTCCTTCACAGATGCTGCCAGACCTGCTGAGCTTTTCCAGCAACTTTGTTTTTGTTCCTGATTTACAGCATCCACAGTTCTTTTGGTTTTTATATGTTCAAAATAGTGGGTGGGGAGTCAATCTAAAGAGGTTTGGATTTTTTTCTGTATGGTGTCAAGCTTCATGAGTTTTCGTGGAGCTGCACCCACCATCGCCTCTAATGGCAGCCCCTAACATGCTAATAGTGGTAATGCCATTGAACATTAAACTGTGATGGTTAGATTCTCTCTTGTCAGAGGCAGTCATTGCCTAGCACTTTGCTGTTAAAAATGAACCAGTTGAAGATGGCCAAGGTCAGGGCATGGCCCTGATGATCTCCAGCAAAGATGGTCTGGGGCTAAGATTAAAGACCTCCAACAGCCAGAACCATCTTCCTTATTGAAAGGCATGACTCTAACTAGCAGAGAATTTTCCCCCAACTCCCACCAACTCCACTTTTGTGAAGGGATCCTTGATGTCAAGGGCAGTCACTCTCACCTTGGCAGTTCAGCATGTTAACTAGGTTTTGACCAAGACTAATGTGCTGGAGGGGTGTTCAGTTAGCTGAATGGCTGGTTTGAAATGCTGAAAAACACCAACAGCACAGATTCATTTCCTGCACCAGTTGAGATTACCATGAAGGTGCCTCCTTCTCAAACTCTCCCCTCTCCTGAAGTGGCGACAGGTTAAACTCCACCAGTCATCACTCTCCTAAGAGCAGCCCTATGGCTGTCTGGGACTATGGTGGCTGCTGATGTCAGTTAGCTCAGCTGGCTGGACAGCTGGTTTGCGATGCACAGTGAAATGTAAGAGCAACAAGCCAGAGAACCCTGAATATCGAGGTACATTCAGGACTGGGTAAGAGGAGTGGCTTTTTAACAAGTACTAAGGGAGCAAACCAAGAGGCTATAGTGGAGTACAGAAGATGAAGGGAGAACTCAAAGCAATTAGGACAACAAATCGGGGCATGAAAAAACATTGGCAGATAAGATTATGCAGAATAAATATATCAATAGGAAAAGGATAACCAGGAAATGAGTTCGGCCCATTAGAGACCAATGGGGCAATCTGTGCGTGGAACCAGGAGTTATGTACTTCACATCCACCCTCACTTTGGAGGAGGAGGATGTAGGTACAGAATTCAGGGAGACTGACAGGTTCTTGAGCATATTAACATAGGGAGTGAAGTGCTTTGGGAGGTTTTGGCAGGCTTAAAAGTGGACAAATCCCCCAGGGTAGTTAACAAGGAATATGGCATGCCTGCCTTCATCGGTCGGGGCATTAAGTTTGAAAATTGGCAGGTAATGTTGCAGCTTTATAGAACATTTGTTAGACTGCATTTGGAATATTGTATTCAACTCTGGTCACCACACTACCAGAAGGTTGTGGTGTCTTTGGAGAGGGTACAGAAAAGATTTACCAGGATGTTGCCTGGTATGGAGGGCATTAGCTATGAGGAGAGGTTGGAGAAACTTGGGTTGTTCTCACTGGAACGATGGAGGTTGAGGGGCCACCTAATAAAGGTCTACAAGTTTATGAAAGGCATGGACAGAGTGGACAGTCAGAAGCTTTTTCCCAGGGTGGAAGAGTCAGTTACTAGGGGGCATAGGTGCAAGGGGCAAGGTTTAAAGGTGATATATGAGGGAGGTTTTTTTTTTTTTTTTTTTTTTTTTTTACACAGAGGGTGGTGGGTGACTGGAACTCGCTGCCGGGGGAGGTAGTGGAAGCAGATACGATAGTGACTTTTAAAGGGCGTCTTGACAGATACATGAATAGAATGGGAATAGAGTGATACAGTCCCCGGAAGGGTAGGGGGTTTTAGTTGTGACTAAAAGCACAATGTCAGTGCAGCGTGTCAGTACAGGCTTGGAGGGCCGAAGGGCCTAACGGCCTGTTCCTGTGTTGTAATTTTCTTTGTTCTTTGTTAATCTCCTCTTGGAGAGGCAAGGTTTGATCAGGGATAGTCAGTATGGCTTTATCAGAATGAGGTCATACCTAACAAATCTCGTGGAATCTATTGAGTCGGTGACCAAGTGTGCAGATGAGGGTAGGGCAGCTGATGAAGTTTTTCTGGATTGCAACAGAACCTATAACAATGTCCTGAGTGGGAGCCTGATAAAGAAGGCAGGGTACCTTGGCAAGTTGAACTAAAATTCTCTCAGTGGGAGGGGACAGATGGTGGTGGGAGAAAGCTGTTTATATGACTGGAGGCTGGTATCTAGTGGCACGGGCAGCGCTGGGTCACATTATTCATGATGTATATACACGATACAGAAGAAAATGCGAAGGTAACAATAACTAAATTCGCAAATAACAGATTGGCTAACGGGGAGGAAGGAAGTCTTAGGTTACAGGAGGATTTTGGTCAGGTAGGCAGTCCAGTTGCAGAAGGATTTTAACCCTGATGAGTGTTAAGAAGTAACAAGACAAGGGAATACTTAAAGAAGGGCAGGACACTAGGAAGCTCAGAGGAACAGACTTGGGGTACTTGTCCAATGATCTCTGAAAGCAGCAGGACAGGTTGGTTAGTGTAGTTAAAGTGGCATATGGGTCATTTGCCTTAACAGTTACGGTGTAGGTTATAGCTAAACAAAACTTTGGGTAAGCCACAGCTGGAGTACAACGTGCAATTCTGGTCACCGTTCAACAGAAAGGATGTGATTACACTGGAAGGAGTGCAGAGCTGCTCTGCCAGAATGTTGCTTGGGATATAGCACTTTAGCTACAGAGAGGCTGGATTAGCTCAGGTTGTTTTCTTTAAAGCAGAGAAGGCCGAGGGTGGACCTGACTGAGGCGTCTAAGGTTATGAGGTGCTTCTACTGGGTGGACAGAAAGCAGCTGTTCTCCTTCGTTGAAAGGTCAATAACAAGCGGGTGCACCTTTCAGGTGAAAGGTCGGAGGTTTAAAGGGGATAGGAGGAAAATTGTTTTCACCTCGAGAATGGTCAGAGGCTAGAATACATGCCTGGGAAGGTAGTTGAGGACAGTAGCTTGACAACCTTTAAAGAGTACTTGGATGAGCACTTAAAACATTCAAGGCCAATGGCCAAGTGCTGGAAAGTATGACTAGTGTGGATTTAAAGCAGTTTTTGTCAGTAAAGACTCAATGGGTTGAAGGCCTCTTCTGTCCTGATTTCAGCTTCCCGGTATCCACAGTTTTGTTTTACGATAGGAGAAGAAAGATTTCCCTGGGTCTGTTACTATGTGGAATTCTCTTCCCAGAAATTAGTGGGGGTGGGTCTTTGTATTTATTCAAGTCTGAGATAAATTAATTTTTGATAAACAAAGAAGTCAAGGGTAATGAAGCGGGGTTGGGGCAGACAGAAAACGGCAGCTCTGTTCACAAATGCAAGATCTTATTGAATTGTGCAGCGGGCTTGAAGGATTGAACGGCCTCTACCTGCTCTCATACTCTCAATACTTTGAATTTTAATGATTTCTAATTTTTCTGACCTTCAGGCCTTGTTTTCTGTTTTTTCTTTCTCTGTTACTCCGAGGACTTTTGGCAGCAAAAATGCTTGTCAATTTCCGATCTTCAGTTTTCAGCCACACTTCAAACTTCTTCAACAGCAGTTTGTGATCAGTGGGATCTCGACCATTCATCTATCAAAGAATCAACTGGACTTTAACAAATATGATTTGTATTAGACAAAAGCAAAGTACTGAAGATGCTGAAAATCTGAAATGATAAAGTGCTGGAAATAGCAATTATAACATTTCTAACATTTCCCAGTTCAGAAGAAAGATCATAAATTTGAAACGTTAACTCTCCTGGCTCCACACTGAACATTGCCAACATTCTTGGTTTTGATTAGACTGGGAATTGTGTAGTGCTTAACATTGTTTTAGTCTATAGAAATTAAACACAGTGAGATTACTCAACAGAAATAAATGTTGCATTCATTCTATAACAATATTTATGTGTGGGTTATAGATCTGAATGTACTGACATACTTCCTGCAGTGCTGTACCAAGTAAGTATGATTTTTACGTATTCATTGATGGAATGTAGACAAGTACCTGTGACAAATACCCAATTCCCTTCAGACAAACAAAGTGCTGGAGAAATTCAGCAGGTCTCGCAACATCTCTGAACAAAAATGAAGTTAACACTGTCAGTCCAGTCTATTTAGCTCTAATGTTCTGATGAAGGGCCATGGACTTAAAATGTTCATTCTTCTTTCTACAGATGCTGCCAGACCCTCTAAGCTTCTTCAGCAATTTCTGCTTTTATTACAAAGTAGTTGTTCATTTTTTCAACATTAATGAGGAAAAAAGTCTTCACCTAGAGAGCGGTGAACCTGTAGAATTCTCTGCCGCACAAAGTGGTTGAGGCCAAACAGTAAATGTTCTCAAGAAGGTAGTGATATAGTTCCTAGGGCTAAAGGGGTGAAAAAGTGTGGAGAGAAAGCAGGAACAGGGACGAAGTTGGATAATCAGCCATGGTCATACGAAATGGCAGAGCAGGCTCATAGGGCTGAATGGCCTACTCCTGCCCTCCTATTTTCTATGTCTGTGTTTTTTATTTGCTTATTCTCCATTACAAGTTCTCTTGTCTCCAGATACAAGGCCGAATTTGTCTTAGTTAGACCTTTCCTTCCCACATGCGTAACTTTGGGATAAGGATTGGCTCGAAGGGCTGGGTCGCTAATGGGGATAGGCACATGCTGCGGCTGGACAAGGCACCGCCCCTTCAAAAAAGAGTATTTGGGAATAGGAACAAACCCGGAAATTATGGGCCAGTTAGTCTTACGTCAGTGGTGGCCAAATTAATGGAAAGGGCTCTGGGATATAGGATTTATGATCACTTGGACAGGCACAGTTTGATTCATGATAGTCAGCATGGATTTGTGAGCGATAGATCATGCCTCACAAGCCTAACTGAATTCTTTGAAGAGGTGACCAAACACGTGGATGAAGGTAAAGCAGTGGATGTGGTATACATGGATTTAAGTAAGACTTTTGAGAAGGTTCCCCATGGTAGGCTCATGCTGAAAGTAAGGAGGCATGGGATAGGGGGAAATGTGACAGATTGGATACAGAATTGGCTGACCCTTAGAAGACAAAGAGTGGTAGTGGATGGAAAATATTCAACATGGTTCTCAGTTACGAGTGGTGTACCACAAGGATTTGTTCGTGATTTTGAGATTTTTGTAAATGATTTGGACGTAGAAGTGGAAGGATGGATTAATAAGTTCGCTGACGATATGAAGGTGGGTCGAGTTGTGGATAGTGCGTAGGGCTGTTCTAGGTTACAAAGGGACATTGATAGGATGCAAAGCTGGCCTGAGAAGTGGCAGATGGAATGTGAGAGCTGATTCATTTTGGAAGGACAAACTTGAAAGCAGAATACAGGGTTAACAGAAAGATTCTTGGCAGTGTGGAGGAGCAGAGGGATCTTGGGGTTCATGTCCACAGTTCCCTGAAAGCTGCCACCCAGGTGGATAGAGTTGTTAAGAAGGCGTATGGTGTGTTAGCTTTCATCAATAGAGGGATTGAGTTCAAGAGCCATGAAGTTATGCTCCAGCTATAAAAAACCCTGGTTCGGCCACATCTGGAGTATTGTGTCCAGTTCTGATCGCCTCATTACAGGGAAGATGTGTAAGCGTTGGAAAAGATAGAGGAGATTTACCAGGATGTTGCCTGGAATGGAGGGAAGGTCTTACGAGGAAAGGTTGAGAGCGCTAGGGCTTTTCTCTTTAGAACGACAAAGGGTGAGAGGTGACCTGATAGAGGTGTACAAAATGATCAGAGGTATAGATAGAGTGGATAGCCAGAGACTTTTTCCTAGGGTGGAGGTAGCTATTACGTCGGTGCATAGTTTTAAAGTGAGTGGAGGTAAATATAGGGAGATGTCAGAAGTAGGTTCTATACTCAGAGTTGTTGGCGCTGTGGAATGCATTGCTGGAGAGGGTAGTGGAGTTGGCCTCATTAGGGGCATTTAAGCGGCTATTAGATGGGCATATGTATGATAGTATAAGGTAGGGGTGGAGGTTAGATCAACCTTAGGTTTAGGGTAAAAGTTCGGCACAACATCGTGGGCCGAAGGGCCTGTACTGTGCTGTACTGTTCTATGTTCTATTTCTGGAGGAAGAATTGATATTCCCCCCCAGACAGGGGGAAATATCAGTTATGGAACATAGAACATAGAACATTACAGCACAGTACAGGCCCTTCGGCCCTCGATGTTGCGCCGACCTGTGAAACTAATCTGAAGCCCATCTAACCTAAACTATTCCATTATCATCCATATATTTATCCAATGACCATTTAAATGCCCTTAAAGTGGGCGAGTCTACTATTTTTGCAGGCAGGGCATTCCACGCCCTTACTGCTCCCTGAGTAAAGAACCTACTTCTGACATCTGTCCTATATCTATCACCCCTCAATTTAAAGCTATGTC